GAGGCGGCGGTCCGCGCGCGTCCTCGGACGCGCGCGGACAGGCTGATCGAAGAGCCACCACGATTATTCTCTCTCTCTCGTCCGAGAGAAGAGACCACGATGGTTGAACGAGAAGCGCGTTTCTTCGCGAACGCAAAAATTTCGAACGATTACCCTGAACGGTGGATCACTTGGCTCGTGGGTCGATGAAGAACGCAGCTAATTGCGCGTCAACTTGTGAACTGCAGGACACATGAACATCGACATTTCGAACGCACATTGCGGTCCACGGATACAATTCCCGGACCACGCCTGGCTGAGGGTCGTTTTAGTACCCCTAAACTGCTTGCGCCCGAAAAGCGCGCACGGCCACGACGCGGGCGACCAGAGAATGGCGCGCGCGTCGCCTGTGCCCTGTGCAACGCTTACAATGGGCGTACGAGCGATCGTTGGACGTTCGCCCGAGGTGTCTGTGCCGCGCCGACCGGCCGCGGTGCAAATCCTGGCGTCGTCTGAAATGACACACCGAAATAATAATAATGAGGAGGAGAAGCGCACAAGCGTGTAAAACGTTGGCGAACGCGCGCCCAGAGAATGCTGCGCGAATTAAGAGGGGGAGCGTGTTTGTGTATCCAAGTCGTGTGTGTACGCGAGAGCCGAGGAGAAATGGGATGAGAGTAAGAGCGCGCGCGAAGGGAGCAACAAACGGCCAAAAAAAGGGTCAGGACGGTGAATGGCACCGCTTTCCCTAGAGCGGCGCGTGCGTCGTTGTCTCCCGAAAGTAGGTAGCGCTTGTCTCACCGTCTCTCCTCTCCGTACATCACACAGACTGACCGGACTGCTCTCGCACTCTGTGCCGCGTCTCTCGGTGCGATAGCGCTCGCGCGTCTTATGCCGAGGCGCCCTTGCCCGCACACATAACGGTATTACGGAGAAATATACGGCGCGTCGTCGTCCGGCGGAGAGAGCATTCGTAATCCTTTACCTCTTTACGGAGAAGGGTTTTGAATCGCGAGCCGACCGCGTGTCCGAGTCCACGAAATTTTCGTAAAGCGAAAAAAGGGGACCGGCGCGCCGCGTCGTGTACTCGTCGAATCGATTCCGCCCGAATTTCGTATATAAAAGAGAAGGGAGAGCCGAGAATCTCGAACCCCGCGATATATCGTCTCCATTACCACCAACGAGTGTGTGTGCGGTTAGCGCCCCGGCGATTTGCCTTCTCGCGTATTTCGTGTGCTGCCGCTGCTGCTCTCTCGTTCGACGCTCTCTCTCTCTCCCTCTTATAATATATATTATAGAGGAGAGACGACGATGAGCGACGCGGAGGAGGCAAACGGCTACGAAAACTCACTATGCGACGACCTCAGAGCAGGCGAGATTACCCGCTGAATTTAAGCATATTATTAAGCGGAGGAAAAGAAACTAACCAGGATTTCCTTAGTAGCGGCGAGCGAACAGGAAAGAGCCCAGCACCGAATCCCGCGGTTCCGCCGCAGGGAAATGTGGTGTTTGGGAGGATCCGCTTATCCCGAGGTGCCGCGTCGCGTCCAAGTCCATCTTGAATGGGGCCACTTACCCGTAGAGGGTGCCAGGCCCGTAGCGACCGGTGCGCGCCTCGGGAGGATCTCTCCTTAGAGTCGGGTTGCTTGAGAGTGCAGCTCTAAGTGGGTGGTAAACTCCATCTAAGGCTAAATACGACCACGAGACCGATAGCGAACAAGTACCGTGAGGGAAAGTTGAAAAGAACTTTGAAGAGAGAGTTCAAGAGTACGTGAAACCGTTCAGGGGTAAACCTAAGAAACCCAAAAGATCGAACGGGGAGATTCATCGTCAGCGGCGCTGGCTTCGCGTCGGTCGGCGATGTCCCGCGGAGTCCTTGCGGCTCGCGCGCGGGCACGCTACCGTGCGCCGATGTCCGGCGCTCGTCGTCGTGCACTTCTCCCCAAGTAGAACGTCGCGACCCGCTGGGTGTCGGTCTACGGCCCGGGTGCGGTGTCTGTCGCGTCGCCGGAAAAACGGCACGCGACAAACCCTCGGTCGCCCGGCCGGCTGCTCGGCGGTACGCGCAAGGTATCAGGCCGCACTATTCACGGTGCGTCGAGACCGTCGCAAGCGCGCGCCACGGTACTCGGAGGTTACGGACTTCGCGCCGTCCCCGGTCCTGGCCCGCTGTTGGTTACAGTACGGTACACCTTCGACAGGCCTGCGAACGTCTCCCGCGGTCTCGCGGGAGACCGATACCGGTCGGCGACGCTACTGCTTTGGGTACTCTTAGGACCCGTCTTGAAACACGGACCAAGGAGTCTAACATGTACGCGAGTCATTGGGACTTGTCGCGAGACCTAAAGGCGTAATGAAAGTGAAGGTCGGCCCTGGCCGTCGACCTAGGGAGGATGGGCCGCGTCGCGATGCGGCCTCGCACTCCCGGGGCGTCTCGTTCTCATCGCGAGAAGAGGCGCACCCAGAGCGTACACGTTGGGACCCGAAAGATGGTGAACTATGCCTGGTCAGGACGAAGTCAGGGGAAACCCTGATGGAGGTCCGTAGCGATTCTGACGTGCAAATCGATCGTCGGAACTGGGTATAGGGGCGAAAGACTAATCGAACCATCTAGTAGCTGGTTCCCTCCGAAGTTTCCCTCAGGATAGCTGGCACTCGGCCGTTCCGCACGGAACGCGCGCGAGTCTCATCTGGTAAAGCGAATGATTAGAGGCCTTGGGGCCGAAACGACCTCAACCTATTCTCAAACTTTAAATGGGTGAGATCTCTGGCTTTCTTGAATTATGAAGCCACGAGCATCTTCGGATCAGAGTGCCAAGTGGGCCATTTTTGGTAAGCAGAACTGGCGCTGTGGGATGAACCAAACGCAGAGTTAAGGCGCCCAACTCGACGCTCATGGGACACCATGAAAGGCGTTGGTTGCTTAAGACAGCAGGACGGTGGCCATGGAAGTCGGAATCCGCTAAGGAGTGTGTAACAACTCACCTGCCGAAGCAACTAGCCCTGAAAATGGATGGCGCTGAAGCGTCGAGCCTATACTCTGCCGTCAGCGGCAAGTGGGGCGGCAACCGGGAGCGGGCGTTAGTCTTCTCTCGCGTCGTCACGAAGCCCTGACGAGTAGGAGGGTCGCGACGGTGAGCGCAGAAGGGTCTGGGCGCGAGCCTGCCTGGAGCCGCCGTCGGTGCAGATCTTGGTGGTAGTAGCAAATACTCCAGCGAGGCCCTGGAGGACTGACGTGGAGAAGGGTTTCGTGTGAACAGCCGTTGCACACGAGTCAGTCGATCCTAAGCCCTAGGAGAAATCCTATGTCAATGACGGCGTACAATATACTCGAGTGTCGAGAAATAATAATAAATATTATACGAAAGACACACGCCCGTCGGGCGAAAGGGAATCCGGTTCCTATTCCGGAACCCGGCAGCGGAACCGCATACAATTCGGGCCCTCGTAAGAGTGTTCGTCGGGGTAACCCAAAATGACCTGGAGACGCCGTCGGGAGATCCGGGAAGAGTTTTCTTTTCTGTATAAGCGTTCGAGTTCCCTGGAAACCTCTAGCAGGGAGATAGGGTTTGGAACGCGAAGAGCACCGCAGTTGCGGCGGTGTCCGGATCTTCCCCTCGGACCTTGAAAATCCAGGAGAGGGCCACGTGGAGGTGTCGCGCCGGTTCGTACCCATATCCGCAGCAGGTCTCCAAGGTAAAGAGCCTCTAGTCGATAGAATAATGTAGGTAAGGGAAGTCGGCAAATTGGATCCGTAACTTCGGAATAAGGATTGGCTCTGAGGAGCGGGGCGTGTCGGGCTTGGTCGGGAAGCGGGTCTGGCTGACGTGCCGGGCCTGGGCGAGGTGAACGGTCGGCGTTCTCGCGCCGGTCCCGGGATCCGAGCTCGGTCCCGTGCCTTGGCCTCCCGCGGATCTTCCTTGCTGCGAGGCTTCCGTGGCGGCGCGAGCCGTCGTGGTCGTCCTCTTCGGCCGCCATTCAACGCTCAGCTCAGAACTGGCACGGACTAGGGGAATCCGACTGTCTAATTAAAACAAAGCATTGCGATGGCCCTCGCGGGTGTTGACGCAATGTGATTTCTGCCCAGTGCTCTGAATGTCAACGTGAAGAAATTCAAGCAAGCGCGGGTAAACGGCGGGAGTAACTATGACTCTCTCGGGGGAGTAACTATGACTCTCTCGGGGGAGTAACTATGACTCTCTCGGTCCTCAAAGCAACACGCCGCGATGGTACTTAGAGAGAGTCGTAGTTGGGTCGTGATGCGCCAACGAAGTCCTCTAGTAAGGACCTTCAGCCTCTCACGTCCAAGTTGTACCCCACCTCCTCGTGGTCACTCCCGGGCAACGTCCCCACCATAGCAAGACGGTACGGT